AATTTATATGGAACCATAAGTGGCCCTGAGTAGCTGCAGCAAGTTTGAGAAAGAAGACCAAAGTAGGAGGGATCACAATACCTGATATCAAACTGTATTACAAGGTCATTGTTATCTAAACAGCCTGGTACAGGCACAAGAACAGAAACATGGACCAATGGAACAGAACAGAGAACCCAGAAATAAACTTAAATGTCTATGGTCAATTAATATTTGACAAAGGGGGCAGAAGCATAAATAGCCTCTTCAACAAATGGTGTTGGGAGACCTGGACAGCTACATGCAAAAAATTTAAACTTGATCACCAACTTACACCATACACAAAAATAAATTCGAGATGGATAAAAGACTTAAATATAAGTTGTGACACTATAAAAGTCCTGGAGGAAAACATCAGAAAGAAAATCTCAGATACTTCATGCAGCAACATCTTCACTGATATATCCCTTAAAGCAAGGGCCATAAAGGAAAGAATGAACAAATGGGACCTCATCAAATTAAAAAGCTTCTGTATGGCTAAAGAAAACAGCATTAAAATGAAAAGAGAACCAACTATATGGGAAAACATATTTGCCAATGATACCTCAGACAAGGGTTTGATGTCCAAAATATATAAAGAACTCACACAACTCCACTCCAGGAAGACAAAAAACCCAATGAAAAATGGGCAAAAGACTTGAACAGACACTCCTCCAAGGAGAACATACAGAGGGCCCATAGACATATGAAAATATACTCAGCATCACTAGCCATCAGGGAGATGCAAATTAAAACCCCAATGGGATACCACTTCACAGTAGTCAGAATGGCCATCATAAACAAAGTGTTGGAAAGACTGTGGAGAAAAGGGAACCCTAGTACACTGTTGGTTGGAATGCAGACTGGTGCAACCACTGTGGAAAACAGTATAGAATTTCCTTAGGAAACTAAAAATGGAACTGCCTTTTAACCTGGCAATTCCACTACTAGGATTATATCCTAAGAACTCTGAAACACCAATCCAAATAAATGCATGTACCCCAATGTTCATAGCAGCACAATTTATAATAGTCAAGTGCTGGAAGCAACCTAAGTGCCCATCAGTATATGAGTGGATCAAAAAACTATGGTATATTTACACAATGGAATACTATGAAACTGAGAGAAAGAAGGAGCTCCTACCCTTTGTGACAGCATAGATGGAACTGGAGAGCATTATGCTAAGTGAAATAAACCAGGTGTTGAGGGACAAATACTATATGATCTCACCTTTAGCTGGGACATAATCAACAAAAGAACAAAACAGGCAAAATATAACCAGAGACATTGAAATCAAGAACAGTTTTACAGTAACTGGAGGGGAGGTGGGAGGGGATAATGAGGGGAAGGGTTTTTAGGAATAAATATAAAGGATGCATGGACAAAAGCAAGAGGTCATGGAACCTAGGGAGGGAGGTGCATTTGGCTGGGGTCAGGGGCAATCCTGGGGGGGAAATGTAGACAACTGTAATTGAACAACAATAAAATAGTTTTAAAAAAGAAAAAAGCAACATTTAAAATTTTTAAACGTTGACAGGAAAAATGGAGCAAAATATAAAAAGATTAAATTTTGAGAGGAAATATGGTTAACTTGAAAATTTCATAAAATAATAAGCAATACAAAGTATTAATCATATAATTATAAACTCCAAAGCTAACAGGTAAACAGAATGGAATAGAATTCACTTCCCTTTGTAAACTCTGAAAAGTATAGGTATTAGCAGTCATTAAAATAAGGACCTTTAAAAAATAGCAAAGTATTCCCTGTAGTCATATGATTCAGTAACTTATTCTTAATTGTTAAAAAATTTACTGTTAAAAATGAAGTCATGTTAAAACTATTATTTACTTGCTGAAAATGTGGTTAGAAAATATGTTCTCCTTAGATGGAGTTGTATTTTACCCTACTTTTGAATTATCAAATGTAAAGTTAAAATTTATATAATTATAAAAGTATAGACTAGCAATTAGTGACTGCAAACTCTACCAGTTAGGTGATGCACGTGAAATAAAATAGTAAAATGAATTCAGGCGCTATCATTTCCTATCTACAGTTCTCAATTTCATTCATCAACTATTATTCACTTTATCAAAATGAACAGACATTTGTGGCTAATGACTAGGCCAAATCAGAATGGGAACTTTAAATTTAAACAGAGGTAGTCGTCACCTATTCAGAGCATTGTGTTTTTAGATCACCAATTCCTGTGACCACAACCAGTTAACCCATTTTTTTTAAAAAATGGGGGGCATAATGAGCACATCACATTAAAACAGAATTTTCTATACTGTGTCTCCATTCTTTACCATCTACTAATGAGCCACTAAACTTCAGAGTAGAGCTTCACCAGAATATATTTATTAATTTTTCTGAGTTGTTTTGAATAGGATATAATTGAGAGATATTCTGGAAAAATCTTGACTTTTAGTAAGATAATTAGGTTAATTTCAACCAGAAGAAGTAACAACTGTGGGACTAAAAATAGGTTATTGAAGTGACCAAAAATGTTTTTTTAAGACAGAAAAATAACCAATATGAAAAAGTGTAACATTGAGTTCTAGAAACAAATTTCAAGTGGGCATCTGAATGGGACAAATGTTCAGATGTGACATAAAATCTTATTTTTAAAAATACTTCGTTTCTTGTCCCTTAATTCTACTATGAAAGCCATAATCTATTATTAAAGACTTCATTGTTAAAACTGTGATAAAAACAAAGGCATAGAAATATACCCAGGTTTATGGGAGAATAATTTTGTTTACTTTCAGAATTGACCTTATATGAAACTTGAACCAGAAGCTATATGGGAACCAGAGAAACAATTAGGTTCTCTTTTTAAACTATCTCAGATTTGGAAAATGCATCAGAACTATAGTATGAGACAAATTCCCACTTTGGACTGTTAACCCTCATCCCAGTGAACCTCTGACCCACACAAACCAGTTTGGGTTAATTGGACTAAAAAATGTTGAAATTAAACACAACAACAGCTTTCACAGAGAAAGAAGAGTACAGTGGTCAAGACCACAGACAAGAAATGAAATGTGGTGTCTGACCTCTGACCTATTACCTTGTGACACCTACTAGTGACTGAAGCCATCAGAGGTTTAACGTTGCTGTGTGGAGACTGACAAAATAACCCTCAATAGACTTGTGAGCATTAATTAAGAAACATGTATGCAACATTTACTATAGGATATCTGGCACATCATAGCATTCAGTAAGTGGCAACTATTATTGCTGTTAATACAAAAATGATTCCACAGCATATGTCACTCTTCACTTGTTTCAGCAAACAGTGACCCTTACCTAGGGCATGTGAGGTAATGCTAACACTGTATAAAAACAACATAGTTCTTAAAGGTGAAGACTGAGTTAGGAGTAAGCTTTTCAGTGACAGCAGCTCAAGTGTACAAAAGATGACTGACATTCATTGAGGAACGGGACCAAACTGAGATCAATGCCAAAGGTGGCTGGGCCAACTTCACCTCCTCATGGGGAGTTTGGCATCGAGACAGATGACTAACGGTTTAAAACTTTTCCTGTTCTAAAATAGCCAAGAGTAAAATGTGCATAATAAGTTTTAAAATGACAGTACAGACTCAAGTGATCAAACCCCTTGGGAGGAACGGCCTAAATGTAACAGGAAGTATTTCTCAAGGAAACCACAGGAAAGCCACACTCAGTCTTCAGATTGGTCCAAACAACCGGAGTCCCTGTTACATACAGCTCACAGAAATAAACCTAAGCCAATTTATCCCATTACATTTAGTCCAAGGAAGGCAAAATATTAAGTTAACCCTCAACTGTGGAGTACAGGGAAGATGTTTGATTTTACTAGTTTCAAACTCCATGCACATGTGATAAAAAGTAGAGGAGGAATTCAGTTTGCTTCAATAAAGTATAGAGAGAATACTGCAGAGACTGAACTCTGCCTCCAATAAACTACCTGGCCTGGGGCATGTCTTGCTGTGCCTTTGGATTTCACCTTACTCTGGGTAAGAAGAGGACATGGGACTAGGAGAGCAAGTCACTGCAACCTGGCATCCCTGGAGAATTTTGCTGAGATCATACTGTGCTTCAAAAGTTTTTAATCTGAAGTGCAAAAACTTTCCAAGCTCCCCACCTTCACAGTTCCCTCTTGCCTCCCATCTACCCCTTCCAGAAGCAGTGTAAACCTGTTTGGCACCTGTAGATGTAAGAATCTGCAACACAACCTCCAGAGTCCTATCCAACCCTGCTATCATATGATCATACCACTTACTGCCAATAACTCTTTGAAAGTGTGTTTTAGGTCACTCTGATATTAAACTATTAGATAAGATACATTAGAAAATTAACTATCATTCACCTCTAGGATTGTGAACAATTTATTCTGTAGATAGAGTCAATTACTTTTGTATCTTGAATTAAGATACAAAACTAGTTGTATTATTGATAATTTTCTGAAAAACAAAACTGTCTCCCACCTTTGCTCATTGGAATCCAAATCCTTAAGTTATTAACCCAGAAACTAACAACACAGTGCATGCCTCCACCACAACACACAACTTCTTTACTTCTGCCTTATCAGTAGGCCTGATATTAAAAGTCTTTTCAAGAACTTCCATACTCTGATTTCTGCAAAGAAGCATACAATAGTATAATGTATACATATATGTAATGTATATGTATATGTAATAACCTATACCTGTATGCATTCCTAAATGATTTTAAGCAAATTCATGTGTTTGAAATGATGAAATGTCTCTAATGTCATAAGCATAATGATATGCAAATGATCACTAGAATAAGAATGTTAGTAGACACAATTCTTTCAAATAGAAGAGGAGAGGGAAGAGCAGGTGGTTTTCCATTATCATCATCTCTAACTTCCAGTTTCAAGTACTTTACCTTGGGCTTCATGTCACACAGACTTTGCTCAAAGGTAAGGGTACTGCAACATAAGAGAACTACCATGAATGCAAACATATATACTAACTTTACGAGTCAGTGGATGGCAGCTGTCTCCCACTTTGCCCATAGGTGTGCAAATCCTTATGCTCTTAACCCAGATACTAACAGCACAGCACATGCCTCCACCACACTGGGGGTCCTTGTCACAAGCCTGAAATGAAATAAGCAAATAGATAAATACAGATAGCAGAAAAGACTCAAGCTAAGAAAATCTAAAATTAGCAATAAAAATTCACTGTAAATATCCAACTGCTACTCTATTAATAATCATATATACAAAAACTGTAATATTCATATATTTGTACAGATTTACCATAAAATATTATCAGAAGAGATTTTCCCAGTTTTTTAAAAATAGCCTAAAAATGGCTCAGACATTATGAAAATCTTAAAAACAATTTTTTAAAAAAAGCTCTCTTTTTTCTAGTGTTTTATTGAATTTGCTTTGAACTTGAACAAAATGAATATATATTAGTCTTATAGCATACATGTCCATTAGGAAACACATAAATCAAGTCGTAAGATTTTATGACTATTAACTGCAGAATACATTGGGCCCCATTTCCAAAAGGGGTTTAAATGGCCTCTAAATCTGCCATGAACTGCTCCAGACCCAGAAAGGCACTGATGTAAATTTTACAAGTGCTCATTTTCCCTTTCAAATATTTGCATCCTAGTTCATGAGACTTGATATTTCTCATACCACTGACTTCATTGTTACCATTTTCCTTTCAAAGAAAGAAATCTCATAGGTTGAGAATGGACAGACCAAGACTTTCCCTTATGATACTCTTTTTTCACACATATCCCCAGTGAGTAACCTGAAAAAAGAAAATTATTGGCTTAGGATATACATATGTGTACATACAAAATCAACTGAACTATACTGTCAGAGCCATCAGATGAGGAAATACAATTATCTACTGCAGTGATTACTCAAGGCACCTGTTCCCAATATAAAAATTGTGAAATACATATAATTAAAGAATCAGCTATGGGGGAATTTCTATACTCTACTAAATAGAAATAAATAAAAAAGTCTAAATTTATATGCATGAAAATAGACCTGAAGAACTATTGTTCTTTCTTAGAATCAATAAAAATTAGGAGGCTTTGTTTGAACGGTGTGCAGTAATTTGTTTTGCTAACAATAAGATAAAGATATTATGAATTACACAGTATGTAAGAGACTAAAAAGTTTATCATATAAGCACAAGTTTAAATGTACAATTATTGGGAACAACTAAAACATGCCTTCAAAGTTCATAGTTTTGAGGACAGCCATAACTTCTTAAAATATAAATATACGTATATGGGCACACTCTTATTCATTACTTTTCACTAAAAGTGATCTTGCTTTACAGTTGATTTATTTCCTCCACTAGAGTTTTCTCTCAGCCTACTTAAAATAAGTATTTGGATGGACAAAAACCTATAATTTCCACATTGGGGTGTTTGGACATTTATAGGAAAATATTTAGCATTCTCATTTTCCAACGTTTATCTGTATGCCAGGTATCATATATACATGGCCAGTCCATTCCGTAAATGAAATGTTCAGTACGTGATCTTTTCAAATATGTTTTAATGAGTTGATGTAACATATAAATCATTTTTAAAAAGACTACACATATTACCAAATAAATATTTAAAGTGGAGGTTTCAGGCAGTAATTTATTTCAACAGATGCTCAAGACCTTGAATTCTGAAACTCCACCAACTCTTTTTATAAGACAGTCAAAATCCAGCCAAAAATCTTTTAAAATTCAATCAATCACTTGGATTTTAACATACTATAGACAATATATAGATAAATATATTGTCTAGATAAATTACTTAAGATTTTCATTTGACTCCAGATGCTTCCTGTCATGGAGACATAAGTGTGTTTCTTTGTTATCATGTAGCTTCAGAGACTTTTAAAGGAATTCTTTTTGTAACACTGAGTTAAAATGACAGCAACAAAACAGCCCCTGTAACTATATAACAAGCTTAAATCTCTATAGATAAACATCCAATGTGATAAAAATTTCATTTTGTAACAAGAAGCGTCAGTTCTTGGAAATATTTACAAAGAATTGCATAGGTTTATATATTTTTAATTAGACAACTGCTTCCTAATGCCCTTCATCCTTAACCCATTGCACATCTATTCAAACTCTGTTGTCCTGTGAATGGAACAAAAAGATACTTACATTGCAAAAGAATTTTGGGCTCAGAGGATTAGGAGAAATTTAAAACGAGCCAGCAGGAGAAGAGGGGAAGAAAACCATCATGTTTCAATCCTCATGTATTAGAAAGACCCATAAAAACTTTTTTCCAACCACATCAGCTGGCTACTGACAAAACTATTCAAACACATTTTGTAAAAAAAACAAAAACAAAAACAAATCCCAAACTCTAAACTACTCTAATAAATATCACAATGCTGATAACTACGTATCTCCTGGGTAGAACCAAATACTGTTGGGCTTAACATATGCTCTAAGGCTACTAATTAACACAGGTAAAATAGAGCTTTATGTTCTCAAGATATTGACATTTCCCTTAAATTTAAATTTTATTTTATTATCTATGTATCATCATTTAAACACAGAGGTTATATTTAAATCCTATAATGTGCACTTAGATATTTGAGGAAATTTAATGGAGATGTAAAATAATTTTAGACTTGAGAAAAGGGAGTAAAGCAGTTGAACTAGGAAATGATAGCAGTTTTGTGTTATTGATGTAAAGTAGATTAGACTTTTTAATTCTGTACTGTAAATGCACCCTTCGGATCCGGGAAAAAAAGTGGGTAAAAAAGTGAATTAGCTCCTGCTTCCAAATGAAGACGTCTTTTCTAAGCTAAATCATTCACATGACCACCTACTCCATAATTATTCCCGAGCACTGGAGATGCTTTATCAGGAATTGGAAATGGAAACTTTATACGGAGAACCTCAATACGGTGAAAAAAAAAAAAAGAGCCTTGGGACCCAGAAGAAAGCGTCCACGTTGCTTTTTCAAAAAGCACATACGGCCTGGGACCCAGTTATTTCAAAGGGTTTCTGTGGAGGACGCATGGGGAATAAAGTCCTCGACTACAATAGGATTAAGACTCGGGATGTGGGGTGTTCACCCTGCCCCTTTACATTTCAGGAAGGGCCCTCAAATTTCAAGATTACAGGTTGGAACGTCTTGAAAAAGTGCTTGAGAAGACTTTGAAAAATATCTTTTACCTGAACAGAAAAACAGACCGAACTGGAGGAGAGAGGTTGTGCGGATAAAGAAGAAGCAGGCGCGAAAAAAAGTGGTGATAAAGGTAGGAGAGTGGTACTTTGGTGACTTTTTCTTCCAGGGCGCACCCAATGTCCCGCGCCGTCAGCTGCTTCCTGAGCTGGGCACTTTTTCTAAGTGCGCCACGGGGCGTCCGGGGCAGGTGTTCAGTCTCGGGCAACCTTCCCTGTGCCCCTCGCCTCCCCATCTCTGTCCCCTTCCCCAGCCCCCTTGGGCACCTCCGGCAGACAGGTGCACTGGGCTGCTTACCCCGGTGATGACGGCGGCATCCCCCGCAGGGGGCGTGAACAGCTGCGGCGACAGCAGCAGCAAGAGCAGCAGCGGGACGCAGCATCCGTTCCTCATGGCGCCCTCGGGACTGGAGGCGTTTGGCGGCCTTTGGGAGCGAGGGGCCGGGCGCTCTTATTGGAGCGTGGAGCTGCGGGCTAGCGGGCTGCCCAGCGGCTTCCGTGAGTCTCCCAGCGTTTATAAAAGGCTAGCGCGGCCGTGACTCAGCCTGCGCCCGACCGGCAGCCCGCGGGCGCTCCTGGGGCCCACCCCGCCCCAGCTCACACACGCACCCACCAGCATGTGCCCGAGACGACACGTGCAGGCGCCCTGCGCCCCGCCTAGGACGCCACGCAGGCAGGCCCCCCCTCCCACTGTGGTGCCCCTAGGCTGGGCGGCTGTCTCCGCGTGAGACTGCCTGCCGTGGTCTTTCGCACGCACCGAATCGCTGTTGTGGGCTGAGACTCTCTGGAGTCCTCGTTTCTAAAGTGACACTGCTCAGCACCAACTTCTTGCAGCTCGTTTGTTCTACAGATGTTTAGGGAGCGCCTGCTACGTGCCAGGCGCTGTGGACAAATTAGGGGATGGAGTTGGGTGTAAGGGGACAGGAACCTCTAAATGTGTTTCAGCAGGTCTGCATAGAGCTCACATTGTGTGCCAGGTACTACCCGGGTCTTTCCTCGTGGTCCAACTACAGAAAAGGCCAACATCAAACAAACAAACAAACAAACAAACAAACAAACAAAACAAAACAAAACGGGAAACTTGGAAGACGGGGGAAAGAACAAAGGGAGAGCAAAATCACCCCTAATACCACAGCCTTGATGCCATTAGGGGTTTGTCCTTCCAGCTGTGCGAGTCCAATGTATTTCTTTCATTTCAAATGCTTTCCCTTTATGTTCACATCTGTTCAGACCTTCTCTCTCCGACTTTTCTCACGGGCATTTTCTCTCTCTTTAGATCTTTCCAGAGTCGGGCAGAGCAGTTCTGGATACTGCCAAAAGGAAATGAGTGCTCCTGGCTTGGTGTGCCAGCCCCTGGAGCCCAGCGAGGCAGCTCTGTCTTCTGTTACTTTCCAGCCCAGGAAAACCATCCTTCAGCCTTACAAAATGCCACCCAGCGTTGCTGTATGTCATTCCTTCATTCGGGCCTCCTGGGCTTTAGGCCACCCATTGTAGGAAGAGTGACAAATTTGCCCTCCATCTTCGACCCAAGCCCAGCTAAGAATCCCAGTCTGTTTTCCCTTAAGGAATATGACTTTAAGAACGTGTGACCACACCAAACTTGCTTGCGCCGAAATTTTGGGAAATCCAATTTTCTTTCTAAATCTTCAGAACCACAGGCTTTCCCTGGTCCCTTAAGGACCACAAACTATTGAAAAGCAGATGTGTCTTTCAGCTTCTTTAATAAATACAGTGAGGAGAGTCAGGGCAGTTACTTTCAGACTGCGGGGCTCTCTTATGCCAAAGCATTTAGACTAAATGTGTGTGGGTGGGTGGGTGGCGGGGGGGGGGGGGGTGGTGGTGGTGTGTGTGGAGGGGGAAGCAGGCAATTATCTGAATGTTAAATGGCTGACTATTTGGAAAACTAAATCTTTGACTGATTTTTAAAACCTTTTCACCCCTGTTTTTATGTTTCAGAATGTGCTCCTTCTGAATGAAACACAAGAATCTGAAACAAAAGAATCAAACTTAAGTTTAAAAAATGGTTAGAATTGGAGTCAGTAAAATAAGTGGAAACAGTAGCAAGTGACAGATTGGTGGAAAATTTTCTTTTCCAATCTCCATGCCAACGCTAGCATGGGAATGCTGCTGGGTAAATGTGGAAACCAGTCAATATGGATTTTAACATTCCTACAACTTTTTAAAAAATTGGTCTATTTCATATTTGCCACTATGGAATGCCAGCCTGGGTATTCCTTGCTTCTCTAAGCATAGAAAACAGGATATGTCTACATAGGAAAATCAGATTTCATAAGTGGATGGCTTCATACATGGCAGTTTGTAAAATAATCCTCTGAAGGCTGTTTTGAAACAAGGTCGGAAACACTTAAAAACAGGGTTGGTTTGGTTTCATGTTTCTTTTTGATCATGTTGTTTCTTTTAATTGTTTTAATGCTCTAGAGGAGAAATGAAGGCACCTGATATGACAAATCTTTGCATCCATGGCCAAGTTAGAAAATGAAGTCTAAAAGTTAGCTCCATTTTATAAAGGAAACATGAAGGGTTGAATTTGGATTAGTTCACAAAAATAAGTGATGTCTGAAGATCAGCCTACCAACATTGACAACAAAATTAAAGAGTAACTTTCCTGTCCTGTTCTATTCCTTACTGCAGCCTGTTCATATGGCCACATGATCAATTCAGCCCAGAATGACTATGTGAGGAGAACCCATCTTTGTTTATTTAGTTCAGAGCAGACACCTATTTTCTAGCAGACCATCAGGGTTCAGCTGAATGGAAGGGGCAGGACAAGAAAAGTCCATAGGATCCCACATTTGTGAATCTGACTGACCTGAATTGGAATTCTGAGTGGCCATTGGACGAGTTACTTAACCTTGTTAAGCCTCTGTTTTCTCACCTATAACATGAACATAAAATCCAACCTCATGGGTTACAACTTCCATAGACTTTAAAGAGTGCAATACCTGTAAAATAGTCAGCATAGTGCCTAGGACAGACTGGGAGACCTAATAGGGTGACCTCTTATCCAGTCTAATTATTTGGTGTCCTCTACAAGTTCAGCCAATACTGATATAGTTATTTTTGTCTTCCCCACCTAATCTGATGATATACTCCTTAGAGTCTCTGTGTTTAGCTTCCCACACATCCCTCTTGGCACATAGCACAATGATAGGCATATTAGCAGGCACTCTCAGTAAACGATGATCAGCAGGAAGATATCCTTTAGAGGACAGTCAAGAGACAGGTCACAAGCAAATGACATACCACGTAGACACATTTAATTTATGTGAATTGATTAAATGTAGTCATCAAAAAGCTAGAGGGATAGATTCTTTATCTGGTGCAGGTGATTTAGCCTGTCATTCTACTCAATGGACATGGGACTGAAATAACATGAATTGGGAGACACAAACCTGTCTTATTGCCACTGCAATGAGACACACTGGGACCCAGGTTGGTGAAGGATCCATCTCAACATGTGCTTTGTGGTTGCCTGCATAGGGTGGTGTAGTGGATTAAATTGTATCCCCCCGAAAGTTATTTTTAAGTCCCAACCCCAAGTACATGTAAATGTGACCTTATTTGGTAGAAGCATCTTTGAAGATATAATCAGTTTTAGATGATGCGTACCAGATCAGGATGGGCCCTAACTATAATGACTGGCATAGTTATAAAAGAAAGAAGAGGGAGATTTGGACACAGAGACACAAAGGAGATACACACACAGGAGAGCACCATGTGCAGATGGAGGCAGAGATTGGAGTAATGTGTCTACATGCCAAGGAATGCCAAGGACTGCCAGCAACTACCAGAGTTGGAAGAGGCAAGGTAGATCCTCCTCTAGAGCCTTCAATGGAAACATAGCCTTGTTGACACCTTGACCTCAAACTTCTACCCTCTAGAACCATGGGAGAATGCATGTCTGTTGTTTTAAACCACAAAATTACATTGTGCTAATTTTTTATGGCAGCCACAGGACAATAACACAGGGTGGAGCTGGAGGGTTGCACACCAGCCTTCAAAGGCCTCTGCCTGGAACTGATGCACATCACTCCTGTTCACACTGTAGTGGCCAAAGAAGCACATGGCTAATCTATCTTTAAGGGGATGGACTTTGCAAGTCTGCAGTACACTCTGATTTCTGAGAACAAGAAATGTGAACAGTGCCACATTTTATAGGAAAGTGATCAGTTATGGATTAGACTCCTTAATGAGCATAATGAACTTTTTATGATATTAGTAATTATTATAAATAATAATGTAGTATTTCCTTTGTGTTTTTTTTATTTTAGTATTCCTTATATTAAAATTATCCAAAGACTCTGAAATACAGTAAATATTTAAACTGATATATATTTCTTAGGTGAGTAGTAAACCATCATTCATTCATTCATTCATTCATTTAACTAAGTACTTCCTATGACCAAATGTTGTAGGAGGTACTGGAGGGGGGTACAATGGTGAGCAAACAGACATGAAGCCAGTCCCCTGGAAGTGGGCATGAATCAATTAATCATACAATTATATAATTATAGGACTTCTGATAAAGAAGAGGAGTCTAGAGTTTCTCTACTGCTCTTCAGGTCAAATTTGTTACCACCAAATATATTATGGGATGTACTTTTGATGTCCTCTCTTGTTTACCAGTGTAACTCACCTGCTACCTGATGGACCCCTAGCATGTTCATTTTGTTATACCTGCTTTCTTTTCAATTGCCTGTTACATAGTAATGGCTCAACAAATATATGTCAGTGGAATTTGAGGAAGAAGGGCAATACCTGCATGTTTGATCTGTCATCTTTGCTGGAAGCCTAAAACATTTTCTCTATAAACTATATAAATGAAGAGAACTTTTATTTTTCTTGTATTAGTATTGTATTGTTCTTGTCTTGTCTTGTATTAATGTTGTATTGTTCTTGTCTAGTTTTAAAAGTGATTCCAGCTTGCTTGAGGATTACTTTTTTATGTGTGTATCTTCATAGGACTTCTAACTATTATTGCATAATATCTGGGCCTGGTAATCTTATACCTGGGTCCCATTTGTCTGTGGAAATGATTTTCATTTAGATGAGTTCAAAAAAAGTAAAATAGATACTCTGATTTTTTTTTACCTTTCATTTTTATCACTGTACTATTACATAGTGGCTTTTCTTCTTACCAAACCCATAATATCAGTTTGAAATACATTTTTAAAATAATCATGCTTTAAATGTGACATAGAAAAAATGAAATTGCTTTTGTAACTCTAAATAAGACATCTATTTTAATCTATTTCAATGCTGATGATTTCTTTTTCTTTTTAAAAATAAATCATCATGCTTCAATTTGAAAGCCAATTATCTATAAAAGCACTAAAATTATTTGGTCTATTCAAGTGATAATGCACAATAAAGTTTACCTATTTTTAATAGTTGAAACATTAATCCAGGAAAAAGAATTTTCTTAAAAGAGTATAACATGCATTTGAAATAATATGAGGGGTTGGGATGAACACTGGGTTCT